CCTTACTCGGTCCCACCCACTACCTTTACTTGGAACCTGGTTGGTGTGTTTCTTAGCCCCTGTACTGCAAGAGGGTGATTCTCCATACATCCCAACCCCCCGTGTCTGGCCTCCCCCATCTCCCAGACACCCCAGGTTTCCTGGCTCCGCCCCAGCCCCAGCCATTACCCATGCTTGATGCCCAGCCCGGCACATCCCCTAGCCCCTGTACTGCCAGAGGGTGACTCTCCCTGACCGCGTCTCTCCCCCCGCTGCAGCGAGCACAGCCTGGAGGAGTACGAGGTGCTGCTGGGCGCCTACCAGCTCTCCAACCCATCCTCCGAGGTGCAGGCGCGGGCCGTGGCCGAGGTGCTGAAGAACCCGGCCTACGAGGAGGGCGGGTCCAGCGGGGACCTGGCCCTGGTACGGCTGCAGGAGCCGGGGGTCTACAGCCGCAGCGTACAGCCAATCTGCCTGCCCGCCGCCAACCTCTCCTTCCCCAGCGGCACCCTCTGCACCGTCACCGGCTGGGGCAACGTGCTCAGCACCAGTGAGTGCGGCTGGCTCTGGGGGGGGCGGGGGCGAACAGATGCATAGAGCGGGGCACAGAGAGGGTTGAGATGCGGCTGGCTCTGCGGTGTATTGGGGAATGGTTGCACATATCAGGGCCCAGGGAGAGCAAGATGCAGCCAGCTCTGGGGTGGAGAATGGTTGCATGTCACAGGGCCTAGGGAGGACTGAGATGCAGCCAGCTCTGGGGTGGGACGGGTGTGGAACAGACCCAGAACAGGGCTCAGATGCATCTGGCTCTGGGGTGTGTTGGGGAACGGTTGCATATAACAGTGCCCAGAAAGGGCTGAGATGCAGCCAGCTCTGGGGTGGAGTAGGTTGGGTGACAGCTACATATAACAGGGCACAGAGAGGGCTGAGGTGCAGCTGGCTCTGGGGTGGGGCGGGTGCATAACAGGCACGTAGAACAGCAAGCAAAAAGGACAGAGATGCAGCCAGCTCTGGGGTGGGGCAGGTGTGTAACAACCACGTAGACCAGGGCCGAGGGAGGGCTGAGGTGCGGCTGGCTCTGGGGTGTGGTGACTGCAGTAGCCAAGTGGAACGGTGCCTGGGGGGCGGCAGGTGGCAGGGACCCAGGCACCCAGGCCTGGAGGGTTTGGGGGGCTCAGGTAATACTGGTCCCAGTTACCCAGCCATAAGGGTTCCAGTTACCCCCCTGGCTTGCTGGTCCCCACTACCCACATACACTGGTCCACTATATCTGGGAAGCTGGAACCAGTAAGGTCAGGTAACTGGGACCTGTATGGCCTGGTAATTGGGACCAGTAAGAGGCAGGTACTGTTAAGGGGATTAGCTGGGACCAGTAAAGCTGGGTAACTGGGACCTGCAAGGGAATATAACTGGGACCATTAAGGGGGGTGGTAATTGGACAGTATAGCTTGATAACTGGGACCAGTAAGGGGGGGGGTAGCTGGAACCAGGGAGGATAACTGGGACCAGTAGAGCTGGTTAACGAGGATCAGAACAGTTTGGCAACTAGCACCAGTAGAATTTGGTAACTGGTACCAGTAAGGGGGAGTCACTTGGCCATGGTTGCTAGGATGATGTGGTGGATGTAGCAATGGTGGGTGGGGTGGGGCGGGGCCAAGGCTCATGAATTATTCATGAAGTGACTTCACGGGGCGGGTGGTTCCCATGAGACTGGGGGGAGGAGAGCTGGAGACTGGGACCAGTATAGCTGGGTAGCTGGGACTAGTAAGGGGGGGAACTGGGACCTGTAGAGCTGGGTAACTGGGAACAGAAAGGGGGGATAATAGGGACCAGTAGAGCTGGGTAAGTGGGGGGGACTACCTGGGTCTAGTATAGCTGCATAACTGGGACCAGTAAGAGGGGTAACTGGGAAATGGGTGCATTGAGCCTGCAGAACAGAAGACTGAGGGGGGATTGGACAGCCCGAAGGGAGCTCCAAAGAGCTGCAGTGCCTGGCAGGGGACAGGACAAGGGGCAATGGGCTCGGGCTGCAGCAGGGCAAGTCAAGGCAACTGTGGTTCTAGGTAACTGGGACCAGTGGGGGGTAACTGGTCCCAGCTGCCCGGTTAAGCCCCTGCCCCCCACAGCCAGCCTGCCCGCGCCCAAGACCCTGCAGCAGGTGGTGGTGCCGCTGATCGGGCCCCGCGCCTGCCGCTGCATGTACGCACGCGTGCCCAGCGCGGACCCACCCACCATCAGTGATGACATGGTCTGCGCCGGCTACGCCCAGGGCCAGAAGGATGCCTGCCAGGTGAGGGGCGGGGCTAGGGAGGGGCCATGCCCACCCACTGGGGAGGGCAGGAGGCCTGGGGAGTTGTGACCACCTCCGTGCCCATCCCACTGTTCCCACCAATCAGATCCCACCCCTGCCCGCCCCCCCCCCCTGCCACAGGTGCCATCCCTCACTTAACCCCTCCCCCAGCTCCCACCAATGAGGCAGCTCCTCACATCCCATTGCTCCCACCAGCCCTCTGTATCCCACAGCTCCCACCAGTCGGCTCCCCCCCCATCCACAGAGCCGTGGG